CCCCCCCCCCCCCCCCCCCCTCCCCCTGCTTTGTGGCATGACTTAACATAGCGCTTTACTTGCTGCACATTAACTCTGTAATTTTGAGATGTATTCTGTTGATGAAATTAAGTCGCTTTGGGGATTTTAATCATGGGTGTTTGGGGATCATTTTGACTGCACATGTTTCTTTTTTTTGGTCCCTGTATTTTTCCAGTCATTAAATAAATAAAGAATGAATGTTTTGCTATCCACTACACTCTATTTTTATTGTGTAGAGTCATGGAACGTTGAGTAGCAACTGTTTACGTATTTTATTTTAGTCATTTGAAAGCAAAAAATGCCAGTCTGTAGTTCTGTGAAAACACGCAAAATATTTGTTGAGTTTGACTGTCGAATATGGTAGTTTAATAGTAAAATATATATTATATAAACTAACTGCAGCCGTATTCCAAATATGTAGAAATTGACGACTTATAAATATATTTCACTTAAACCGGAGACATGAGGCAACGTGACTCGTACATAAAAAGCTGGACATAAATATAACTCATCAGGAGATGATGCATTTGCACTGAAATGTGACTCATGAATAGTGAAAATTGGAATTTTAGGAAGATTTCCGAGTAATTTGTATGAATATGGACTTGAATCCTCTGTGTAGGCTTGAATTCATAATTTAGGCTCTAAATTTTAAAACGTTATTTCTAAGTTCAATTGTCTCGTTGTTCTGCGTTTCCTCCCGTTTTAATAACTGAATTTGTGCCAAACTATTTTGGTGTGAAGCTAGATAAATAAATAAATCCCCTCGGAGACGTTTCCTCCCGGATGATGACGCTCCTCTCGGTACTTTCTGCTCCAATGAGACCGGAGCTTTCAGCCGGTTTCCTCACTTCCTCCAACCGTTCAGCTGGACTCACTCATGCTGCGTTCATGTGCTGTCGGAAACATAGATCATCACCTTTCAACACAATTGAGTACTTCGACATTGTAATTGACTTGTATATTATAATTAAATATTAATTGATAGTTATATTCCACCACGATCATAATTAATATTCTAAGTAGATTTACTACAATTACCATACTTTAGTACAATTTTGAGGTACTTGTACTTTACTTGAGTATGTCCATTCTACTTTATACTTCTATTCATTACATTTTAGAGGGAAATATTGTACTGTTTACTAGACTACGTGTATTTGACATTTTAAATACTTTGCAGATTAAGATCATTAATATAATATTAAACATTTAACTAATAAATGAAGATGTATTATGGATTAAATTGATACTGATTACCAGTAGCTCCACCAGCTGCAACATTAAAGTGATGTGTACATTAATCTATCAAGTAGGGAAGTATTGTACTGTTTACTGCTCTACATTTATGATACACTTAAAGTTACTTTTTACCTATAAAAACATATGATATGATGCAGTACTATACTACTAAACTATACAGTATTGTACTTCTACAATTGGCGCCACTTCTACAACATTAACATGTTACATTAGTAATAGTAATAATATTCTAAAACAAAATAACACATTAAAAGTACTCATTGTGCATATTGAGTACTTTTGCTTAATTAACATTTTGAATTCAAGACTTTTACTTGTAGCTTAATATTGAATAATATATATATGATATATGATATATATCATATATATATGATATATAATATATACAAATATATAAAATATCATTATATTATTATATTATAATATATTATTATTATTATTATATATTATATGATATATATATAATTATATATATATATATATATATATATATATATATATATATATTATATATATAATTATATATATAATGTATTAGCTGATTCTATTTTGTTTTTTAATTAATAATCTAAATCTGTAATTTCAAATAAATGTAGTTGAGTAAAATTATAAAATGTAAATACTCAAACAAGGTTAACTCAAAATTGTACAGTACTTGAATAAATGTACTTAGTTCCATCCCACCACTGTTGATAATGAAAATAACGGTTGTTTGTCTGCATATGATAAAACTGTGACGTCGGAGCCTGGCAGGGGTCCCTGAACGCAGCCTAATCCAGCCCAGCCGCTGAGTAGCCATTTTGGTCCCACCTAAAACAGACAGAGCAGCTTCACTTTGGGTCGTCGGAGATGGAAGAAATCCGAGTCGACGGCGAGTATTTCAGCCACCGAAACCTCGTGAATCCCTCCAGGAAACATCGGCAGCTGACACTCGACGCCATGGCTTCTTTTTAAACAGTTGTGGGGAGAAAAAAGAAAAAGCCTTCTTCTTCTTCTTCTTTTTTGTAGAAGTGTCGACCGACAGCGCCTAGTTAGTTAGCTTCACTTGACTCAAACAAAAAAAGGACAGACGGACACTGATTTGATTTTTTACACGGGGGGTACGAGCGGTATGCACGCGCCATGTGAATAAGTGAACATAAGATTATTATGCTATTTTTTTTATTTTTTTCTAAGTGAGGGATTTATTTTTTTTAATTTCTGTCCCTAACTGTTCAGGTGCTCCTCTCTAACTCGTCCGGGTTGATCTTTTGAAAATTGTCACAACGCAATAATCTCTGGTTTTGTTTCGGTTACCGGACCGAAGGAGGTGTGACATTTTTATTTTTTATTTTTTGGGGACATCAGACGTCGACTGGTGGGATTAAGGACAAATAGAAAAATATGTCAACAAAAACTCCTCTGCCAACGGTCAACGAGAAGGTGACTGAAAGTGTGAGTATTAAAGGGTTGTTTATTGGGTGTTTCTGTAAACTGTCATTTAAAAAGGAGGTGGATATTGTGCTGATTATGTTGCACAATTGGACTTGTATATTATAGCTAATTGTTTCACACTTTGTTACCTTAATTGTAAACAAGCATATCCTCTACGTCAAACAAGCTCTTTAATATAATTCCTTGCGATATATTTACATTCAAATTATGTTCTTGTATACCTTTTAAAAAAAGGTAGATATGATGTAGATATTTAGGCCCAACCGAGGAACTAAACTACAGTACTTTGCCTGCTGATTCTGGCAGGCAACAGTAGCTTCTGTCTGGGCTCGCTTATTGGCTCTCCCCAGCTGTCACTCAAAAGGTTTCAACCCTTCAGCTTCCCTCGTTAGTCCTCACAGGTCCCGCCTTCTCTTGACCAACTCGTTCTCCCATCCGAAAGAGCGCTGTCAAGGTAGCGACAATGTAGCTTCCGGTCAAGATTTTCAAAATTAAACTTGTCTCTAGCATTTTAAACGTGAACATATTTAAATGTAAAAAATTATATTAGAATTATATATACCAAACGCCACGCCGAAGACCGAAAATTATTTCTTTTCCTGACAAAAAAATTCCAAAATATAAAGGTTACTACTATCTATTTTCATAATCTGTCAATCTTATTTACATAAATCTCATTAGGGCTGCACAAATATTTTCATTATCGGTTAATTCATTCAACATCTTGGTGTCAGACAATTGTGTAAAATGTCGGTTTATAGTTTTCCAAAATTGAAGGCGCCAGTTTTAAATAGATTTCTTTTCTGACAAATTGACAAATTGACAAAAACCGTAAAGATATTTAAACAAAAATGAAATGAACAAGAAAAACTAAATTTACTATTTCTATAACTGCTTTGTACTTTCTCTGACTGCTGTAATCCAAACTTAATCTTTTTGAGTATTTTTTTGTTCCCGTTTGTCTTGAATTCAGCGGGTTATATGAATTATAAACATATAAATACTCTGCTCTGTGTGATCATGTAATGTCATGACTCATGAGATGAGACTTATCAATAGGAGACGTTTTATTGATGCCTGTAGACAACTGAGACCTTTCATTATTCACAAAGACACGACTGGAAACCAGCAGAAGCAACAAGTGAAACAGAAGAAATCAGTTTGTTTTTATTCATTTAACCGGTTAAAACCCACCGAGATCAAATCTCTTTTAACGATGGAGATGTGGCCAACGTACACACAATAGATTACAGAGTAAAAAGTTAAGTCCATGCATCAGCAGAAGAAGTTAAATAGTCGTGTGTGTGTGTGTGTGTGTGTGTGTGTGTGTGTGTGTGTGTGTGTGCGCGCGCAGTATATTCTGATTGAGTATGTAGTATCAGTGTGGAGGAAGTATTCAGGTCTTTCCAACACTGAAATCAGCTGACTCGGTGCTTTTACTCTGAAAGGACACTGTCCATGTTTCGGTGTGTCCTCCTGTAGAGCCCCCACCCCCTTGTCTCTCTGTGGTTATGTGGGCTCTGAGTTGGGATGGTCTGGTTGTAGTGGGAGTCTCTGTGGGCCCCATCAGTGTCCTGTAGAAACATGACGGGCTCCCAGGCAGCCAGGAGACACCGCAGCCTCGTGAGTAACCAGCAAACTCTACTGCGACTTCAAGTTCAAGGAAATAGTTTGTTAGCCAGAAAACATAGAAGCGTAACATATTTCTGTGTCCTTGTATGATTAGCAGATGATATGTTGGAAGTGGAAGAACAGTTTAATGTGTCCCACAGGCTTTTACTACTTCTTCTGTGGTATTCAACAGTGACCGTATCCTATTTTTATCTCTCCTGCTATCACTGTAGGAGGCCTAAAATATATTGTGTGTGTGTGTGTGTGTGTGTGTGTGTGTGTGTGTGTGTGTGTGTGTGTGTGTGTGTGTGTGTTCGACCTCATTGAGGTTTATGGCATATTTCATCTCGTGGTATCTGTGAAGGAATTCACATGAAGTATTATGTTGTAACTTTATATTCTGTGTAATCTGCTTATTTCTGCTGTAATATCTGCACAAGAGCTCACAGAATAAGTTATGTGATAACTTTATGTATGTTTGATTGGATTGGGTTCCTGTGGAGTGAAATGTAAAGTAGAGATTCCTTTCTTCTGTTGTGACTTTGTATGGAAGTCTGAACTCTTGTTGTTCGTTTACTCTTTTGGGCCGTGGTCCCTGTTCATTGTCTGCAGGCTGAATGGGGTCAGATAGTTTGGGGATGGGCAGAGGGCACCGCTGCTAATGAGGCATCGGTCGGACAGTCGATACCGAGGCCGCACCGAGTATCTATCTAATTTAGTTATTTATAGCTGTTGGGACCCGGGGGGGGGGGGGGGTTTGAACACACCCCCCCCCCCCCCCAAAAAAAAAAAAAAATAAAATCCATCCTGACATCAGACGGAGCAGTTCATCTTTGATTGTAGTTAAAATATAATAAAAACCAGAGTGCATTGTTGTTTTATCCATTTTACCTCTGAATATATTTACAGCTTCTAACAATACAATAAAAAACTGATATTCTGACAAACGTCATAAATAAATGAATATACATTAAAGATGTGAAACATTTAAAGAAGAGAAGCAGAGGTGCTGTTACACACCAGATATTTAAAAAGTGTAAATATGGTTTAAACTCACTCGACTGATGTATACAGATCTGGGAACATTTTAACTTTTCAACGCTCTGCACAGGAGATCACTTCACATTTCATTAAGTAGTTTTATTTTTACGTCATGTTTAAAGGAGCTTCACATGCTTTAGATTTGATTTAAAAACAATAGTTCTACAGTAGAATATACCGATGGACAAGAGCAGAATAACGGCACGGTGCCGTCTGGTATGGAAGCTAACTGGCAGATTTCTGGTCACATGTCTTATATTTAGTTTTGCGTTACTTGTGTGTAGGAGACATTGACTGGAGCGTGAACATTTCATATGAATTTAATCAAACATCATCCAGAAGCATCAGAAAGTGTTGCTGCTCAGATAATCTTTAGATTCTTTAATATGGTTTTAATTTAGCAGTTTGCTTCTCAGAGGATTTAGTTCAACAGGGAATTTAATCTGTTACAATTTTGATAATGGATTAAATCACTTAATTAATTAATTAAATAATAATAATAACGATTAACTGGTTTCAATCCATGAGATGAGGATTTCAAGCTTGATCATAAACTGAAGTGTTTCAGACTCTGGATGCTTCTCACTATTTTGTGATATTTCATTGACAAAATGATTTAAACAATGAATCCGCAAAGAAAGGAAAGTTTATCTGTAAAGCACAATGTCAATTCAAAGTGCTATACATGAAGCATAAAAACTGCATAAAAATGTGTTTAAGAGTTTTGTAACGTGGATTTAAAGATGTAAAATCCTCTAGAAGTGTGTTCCCAATCTGTGTGGAGCCCGTCTGTGTATTCATGTCTTCATTTGGTTGATGAGATGATGAAACTGCCTGTAAACCACTGTTTATCAGCCATCTGTGGACGCTGAACTATAAATATCACCGTTTATTTCCTGCAGAGTCTGAGTGGAAACGTCACGCTGGGTCAACGTGAGTCACAGCGTGTTCCTCTAACACACTCTTTTTATTTTAATCCTCACAGCACACGTCTCACAGTAATGGACGCCAGGAGATCAGCACGCGCTCGGCCCGGACCGGCGTTCGATCCCGCAGCTCCGAGGAGCCTCAGCAGCCGCACGTCGGCAACTACCGGCTGCTCAAAACCATCGGCAAGGGCAACTTTGCCAAAGTCAAACTGGCCCGACACATCCTCACCGGCAGAGAGGTGAGGCGCTGTAATGGAGGGGGGGGGGTCATGTTAACGGAGATACTTTACTCCGGTGTTTCCATTAAATCTGACCACGTTCAGGATGTAAAGGTTTTGCTAAATTTAGAGATGCAGCATCACATTAAGTGAGTAAGTTCTCCCACATTCATGAAACCTCGACACTCTGAGCTAGAACTACGAAACCAGAAACTAAAGGAGCTTCTCCTCAGTTTGTAGTCTAAAGACGAGAAGAAGTCTGAAGTTTGACGGCTGGTTTCAGCTCTGGAGGCATTTTAACTGCCGGGCCGATATCCAGTTTTCATTACAAGCTATGCATTTCTGTTCCTGTCACATGTGTAGTTTTATTTATTTTCTCCGATCAGAGTTCCTCCTTTAATTCTGCTTGTGTGAACATCGTTTAACGTTTAAGAACTTTGTCTCAAAAGTGAACAAAATGATTTTCAAGAAACAAACTTTAAAAGTATTAAAATGTGTTCTTCATCGATGAGCAGAAAGAGAAATCTTCTTCTTAACACAGCGTTCACATTTTAACCCAACGATCTCCTCTTTAATGTGGAGGAAGTCTGAACTCTTATTGCTCTGATTGTCTGTAAAGTCTTTAAAAGATGAGTTCAGTCTCTCTGCTGCTCTTGATTGCTCTTCCTCTTCCTCACACTCCTCCTCTGCTGTTCCGTCTTATTTAACTCCTCGTTGTGTTCTTGTGTTTTTCTCTCCAAAGGTGGCGATTAAGATAATAGACAAGACGCAGCTGAACCCAAACAGCCTTCAGAAGGTAATCCCCCCCACTCTCACGCTGAGGCACAATTAGTTTATAAATTCATGAAGCACAACAGATTGGGTATTAATTGTGTAAATGGGAAGCAGTGCATGCTGGGACTGAGCATGTGTTAAGAGCTTTTATGATTTCAGTGGGAGGCCTCAGCTCATCATCGACTATTATAAGTACTCGGCTCTTTTACTACAGTAAGTGTAGTAATACCACAGTGTACAAATACTCTGTTACAAGTAAAAGTCCTGCATTCAAAATCCTACTACGCATCAAAATACACCAAAAGTACATGTCAGAGTATGTATGTATGTATACCTTAAAGGTGTACTTGGGTTGATGTACTTGGAGTACTTTCCACTGCTGATATCTGTGTTTCATAGTTTCTGTTCAGGAAAACAAAGTAAATAAAACTTCAGGGTCTCTTTTAAAAAGAGGCTTTTTGTTTTTATGAAGGTTTATTGGCCTCATAGAGAAACTGAAAATGTCTACTTTTGTCCTTTTTCTTCACACTGTTTGGTTGTTCAAGCAACCAAATCAGGAAGCGGGTTTTTGGTTTTAAAATGCACATTTTCAGAGTCTGCAGCGTGATTTCCTCTTTTTTTTTTTTTTTTTTTTTTTTTTTTTTTTTGTTGGTCTGAGAACGAGCCGATCATAACTCTGATTCTCTAGTTTGTGTGTGTGTGAGTGTGTGAGTGTGTGAGTGTGTGAGTGAGTGAGTGAGTGAACGAACATTTTGTCTGTCTCTCTTGGTCTGGAAGTGGTTTTGTGGAAGTCGGAGCGATATTGACTCTGCAGCTCCGGAGGCTTTTTTTTATCTCATCAGACAGGAAGGGGGGGGGGCAGAGCTTGGCAGCGATGGCTGCTGGTGATGACGATGGTGGTGATGATGTGCTGATGTTCAGCCGCCGCTCGTCCCTCGTCCCTCCCAGCGATCGGCTGCTAGTTTTCCATCAGTTTTTCCAAAGCTCCATTGATCGGGTCCTTTGTGTCTCAGAGGCCCTTTTGGCCCTTTTGGCTGCGACACCAGAAACACTGAGTCATGACGCCGCTGTCCACGCTCGCACAAAGCGGGGGGGCTTTGTGCGAGCGGCCCTTGTTGTTTTTTTAGGTTCCTGTTTAAACGTCAAGGAATTTGTCAGGTTATTATTTTTCCTGCTGCTCAGCAGGGATTCAGATTTCCTTTTAATGTTTATTTTAAGGAACTGGAACAGACTTGAAAAAAGAAATCACTTCTTAATCTATTCTTTTGTAATGATTGACACTTTAAACGTTCCCGTTCCTGTCACGTGTTTCTATTTATACACGTTCTGTTTCTTTCTTTCTTGGATATTCAGAGTTACAGGAAACACTGATATGGATCAGATTTGTGGATTATTTTAATTACATTGTATTAACTTCTCCATTAATTTACCCTAAACTGTTATTCACGGAAGAAGGAACCGATATCTGCCACCTGATTGGCTGATCCTCGTCACATTGACAGCGACGGCTTTGAGCAGTGAGTGATGTTCGGTCTTTATTAACAGGATCTGCTTGCAGTGAAACACTGACTTGTTGGTATTTTCAGACTCGACTGAACGTCATCGTGGACCTCAGGTGTGTGTTTGAAACGCTGCATTCAGGTTCACACGGGTTTTGAGGAACTGGATGTGCTGTTTGTATTTCGCTCCTCTTCTGTATCGGCCAACCTGACCCCTTACGTAACGAAGAACTGGAGAGAGGCAGAAAGCGTCTCATCGTCTCTGAAGCTACATGTTTATTTTCAGCCTCTGTTCTTAATAGTTTAGAGGCGCTGAGTCGACGTTCACATCTGTCACCCGGCTCCAAGCTAAACGCTCTCAGCTCCCACTCTTCTTCCTTTTTCTCCTTCTTCCTTTTTCTTTTTCTCCCTCCTCTTTCTCCTCCTCCCTGTCCTGACTCAACCTGCTGGCGTTCTTGTTGTCGTCTGGGGTCAGAGGTCAGCGTGTTGATTAAATGTAAACGTCTGCTGATGTTTTGCTTTTACTTTGTTTTCACAGAGCCGTTAAAAAAGCCGCAGACGTCGTTTAAAGCAACGTTTTAACACCTGGAGGCAGAGAACTTATGGCTTCATATTCAGACAAAAACAAAGACCGATGAGCCTTCGAGGCATTTTTAAAACTCATAACTTGCTAAAGTTCTGTTCATTTGAGGCCTCATGACTTCCTGAACTCGGTTAATTTGAACCAGAGTGTTTATTCCCTCGGGTGGATTTGTTTGTCCAGATGGGAACAATAACACTCGCGCTTTGGAGCGAACAAATAACTGAGAAGCAAGTTTCTCCTTTTTCAAAAAAGTAATTTTTAATGAAATAAACACCGGGGGTTGAATTACTGCAAGAACGTTGCTCTGACGTCCATCGTCGTTAGCTGATGTTGCTATAACCCGACAGGTGGGACTGAAGTTCAGCAGAAACGTGCATCCTGTTTATGAGCCTCGGATCAGTTCTAATGGAGGAAGATGACTGAAGGTGTGATGTCACTGGTGCTGAAGGAGCCTCGTATCGGTCACAGAGACGTGGTTGTGTAATCGGGACTTCTTCGTTGCATCACTGCGGTGGAATGACTGGATCTCGGTCGTGTTATGTGGTGAATCATCTGCTGTTTGTTTTTTCTCCACTAATTCCGTTTACTGCATCACATACCTGACAAAGTACTTCCGTGTACTGTAGTATAGTATTAAACTGTTCAACATATCTGTCCGGTTCTCTAGTTATCAGAATAGATGCTCTTCCTTCCAGCTCAGATTTGTTCCTATTTTCAGTATAATGATCTCAGTCTGAGTGTAGTGACAGTGAGGAGCCCTCAGGCTCTCCTCCTCCTCTTCCTCCTCCTCATCGTCAGACATGTCCTGGCTCAGTTTGTGAACATGGCTTCCAAACCGGTCGACTCGGTCCTGAAGGCCCCGCTGACTGGAGCTCATAATTTACCCCTCGGTTGTCTCTGAAGTGAGATTTATGATCTCCGTACCTCACTGCAGGATGTGGCCGTTCAACATGACTAGCGTCTTAAAAAGTGATACTTATCTTTGAACACTTTTATTTTTGGTGCTTTCCAGACAGAAACGGAAGGATGGAGACTGATGACATCAACATTAGTAGAAACTAGAAAGAAAGTATTAATAATCTCATAAATATGTCTTTTCTTATTTTGTGAAAGAAAAAGCCTAAAGATCAAAATGCGCAGTGATATGAAAACAAGCAAATCCCTAATATGGAGAACATTTTTACATCCCAATCGTGTAAACATTTTGATAAACATAAAAATAATTTATGATGTTTTGAGTAACAACTGGCCAAATCATTTCTTTAAACTTAACTAATTGTTCCAACGCTGACGTAGCTTCACCATCAGTGTGTCGTCGTATGGTTCCATACATTCCTGTCTCCTCAGTTTTGATTGTACTACATTTCCCAGAATGCTTTTAGTTGTTAGACTGTTTACAAGAAGTCGTGACGTCGCCCGTTGGTTTGGCTATTTAAAATGGAACCAAAGAGAACAGTTGGGTCTCAGAAGGATAAATGTGGAAACAATTAATTATCCGATTTAAAATGTTAAAAGTAAAAACTGACTGATTTAATAAATCTTGATGTTGAGCATTTGTTACGGCTTAAAGAAAGTGAGGATCTGTGTGATCGTCTGTTTTCTATCATTAATGGAACGGTTGGATTGTTTTGAACGTTTTCTAGTCAAAATAAACGGTTTGAAGACGTCGATTCTTTGCTCTGATGTACATTTGCTTTAAAGGTTTTTTTTTTTTTAGTTTTCTGGCTGCAAAAGCCTCACGATTTGTTGGTCCGTAAGCAAACACTGTGGCTACTCCTGCCGCATGAAACATTGATGCCTTTTTATATTGTTATGGAAGAGAAGAGGGCTGGGTGTAGTTCACAGCCGATCAATAATACATAGAACTCACTTCTTTCTTTTGTGCCCTCGTACGGCGGAAGACATAAAAGGCACTTTTGGCCGTTACAGATCAGCTGTTGTGGTCACTGGATGTGGAGGAGAGCGTGTGTCCACCGACTGTCCTGTTAGCGATGGAGACTGCCTCCACCTCTCTGCGGGGACTCCCGCTGCCGTGGGTTTCAGTAGTGATGAAATTATCGTGCGTGTGCGTGCTCACATGTGACACAAATATCAGACGCTCGGCGGAGGAGACGGTGAACTGATATTTAAAACATGTACGACGTGAACACCCTTTTACATTTAAATTATACATTCGTTATTGCTTTGTGACGTGGGAATGCCACTTAGTAAGTAAGTGCATACTGCTGTTGAGTTAATGGACCTGAAAGTACAGTTAAGTAAGAAAGACTGCAGTATAATGACTTTGTAAAGTATTCGTTTGAAGATGTATTTCCCTAGTTTTCCGGTACTCGTTTCTCTGCAGTACTTTAAGTACTATCAGGGCTCGTTGGGAGGACGGTAGTAAACGTCTTTGGGACGCAGTAAACTCACTATCGACGCGTCACAATCTTATTTCTTCCTACAAGTACTGGTTGAAATCAGCAGGACGAGAGCTAGTTAATGTTAGCCGTTAGCAGCCGGTGGGCGGTCTTGCTTGGTGCCATTGAGTGACATCATGATGTGTTCGGGCTCTAATCAGTAAAAATGAGCGTTGGGTGAAGGTAGATTCTATTGTTATATGTTCAAATGTGATCTTGTAAAATGTGGTCTCTGCTGAGAAACTTTAATATACATTTGTCTGTGCTGTCCTGAGATCACCAAATCAAAATATCACTTTTAATAACAACAAAACTATAAACATTAATTTTCTCTTTTTCGTTGCAGCTCTTCAGAGAAGTTAGAATAATGAAGATTTTGAATCATCCTAATATAGGTAAGTGGGTCTCTCACACTCAAACACTTTAATATGATTAAATATGAATGTGTGGTATATCTGTTTATCAAGTGACCGTACAGGTCGGTGTTTGCGCTCTGCTCGAGGGCTGTCTAACCTTTGACCTTTCTATCACATGATCCTCCTGCAGCACAGCCTGTATTTCATCAGCTTGTTTTTACTTGCTGATTCAGCTTTTAGTTCCTGTAGGTTGTGTAAGAGCACTAGGACCCCGAGTTTGTCTTCTAGACTAACCAGACGAGACTTCAACTGGAGGATTGTTGTGAGATTAGAAAGGAAGCTGTTTTATGAGCAGAACAATCTTTGGCATCAAACATCCAGCTGCGAGAGGAAATGCCAACGAACACCAAACCACTGCAGCGACAAGAAGCCAACCACAGCATGAGCTGGAGCAGAGAGGAGACATGGACTCATGCTGCAGCTCAAGATTATTGTTTTCATGAGCAGGAAAATTCATTAAACCGTCGTAATTTTCTAAGACAACTGAAGGAATATATTTAGGTTTTTAACACGATTTTTCTTTTTAAGAAAGGGAGCAAAAAAAATAGTTTTTCAAAGCAAATATTAAAGTAAGTAATAGATGTCCATGGTTTGATTATTGCTGTTAGAATTAGAACAGATAGCTCCAGGCTCTTCTTCAGACAGTCGCCATCTTATATAAATAAATACCCACAATGCATTTACAAGCACACGGTGTGTGTATATGTGTGTATATGTATGTGTATATATATGTGTGTGTATATGTGTGTGGGTGTGTGTATATGTGTGTGTGTATACAGTTGTGTGAAAAAGTGTTTGCCCCCTTCCTGATTTCTTATTTTTTTGCGTGTTTGTCACACTTAAATGTTTCAGATCATCAAACAAATTTAAATATTAGACAAAGATAA